TATAATATCAAATACGGAGAGTGGTTGCTGTATAACATGATTTTCCTCATGCTCCAGCAAACCCTCGCTATTAGGCTAATGAATGTTTATGACATGATCACTGTGAATCATAGGGATTACATGCTGTACCCCCCCCCCCACGGTAAACTAACAAAAGCTTACCATAATGCTAAAACTCCAATACAGTTATTAAATTTTTTTTTAAATGCATTGACCCCGCAAGATCAACCATGTAAAATGACAATTAACATGGCCATCTATAAAAAAAAAAAAACATGCATTGTAAAATGTAAACAATGCCATTTGTATGATGAATTTCTATTTATTTATCCTTTATCCTTACGTTTACAAATTTTGCACGATCATTGTATCAACAAGTTCTGAATTTATTATTTAAAAAATTCACAACTCGTTAGTGTAATTATTATTTTTTTTTTAACATCTGATATAAAAATACAGAAATTCGTCCTCCACTGGCGAGTTACATACATATACAAGCAACACAAACAATATATAAATACACTCGGGGATACAAAGAAAATACAACAATAATGATAATAATAAAAATGAAACTAACATGGAACTTTGAAAACGGACATTAAAAATTGAATCTCGACAAAGCACAGAATGCATGAAATAAAAGTGCTCTGAACATTCACCCCTTCTCTCCTAGAAATGGAGTATGAGGGAAAAAACACAGAAAAGAACAAATGAGAGAGAGAGAGAGAGAGAGAGAGAGAGAGAGAGAGAGAGAGGGGGAGGAGTCGCATGGAGTAGAACAGAAATGAAGAGTGAGGGAGAAAGAGAAGGTGACAGAAAACGAGGAGCTCTGAGAGGAATGTCGGTGATCTTGTACTTAAGACGGTTTCACGAAACTATGCCTTAACCATAAAGAAAATGAAACAATTAAGGTCAGTTATGAAAATGTCAGCCAGTACAAAAAATATTTCTGATTAAGATCCTTTATTGTCATATGAACTGAAATATCGAACAGATGGCAAGATGATTCTTGTCGGAGAAGAAACCCGGCCGACTACGAATCGTGGTGACGTATACGCGTCCATGATTTCAGAATTCTGACTCATAATGAAATTAGATAAACTATATTGTGCCCTCTCATTCTTCTCAACCCTCATGCAGCTCATCCTTTTGCATTATTTTCTGTACCCCGATCTCTTACTTCTTATTTGCAGGCGCGTAGCCAGAGTTTGATGTTTGGGGGGGGGGCACATACATGTAATCGATCGAGGTAAAAAAAAAGGGGTCTCCAAAATTTTAACCGATCCTGGAAATTTTAGGGGGGGGGGCACGTGCCCCCCCCCCGTGCCCCCGTGGCTACACGCCTGCTTATTTGGCATTGTCTATTATACTTTTTGTATTGTGACCGTATTCTCCAATAATTTATTGGCCTTAAAGTACTCTCTCTTGTCCAGTTCTCGTCTCCCCTTTATTTCCTATTTTAGTTCCTTTTTGTAGTTACGATTTTGTTAATTTAATTTATCATTATTCCTAACTATCATTTGAGGGGACTACAATAATTGTACAAGCAATGCTTTATTTTAGTGGACCCCTCTGTTTCCTTATAGTAAACGAATAATTGATTTGTAATGTTTTGTTGGAGATAGGCATACAACTATATTTTGAATACATTGGACATTATTAACCTTCTAATTTTTTATTCGCTCACTTTTTCTTCTCTCTCTCTCTCTCTCTCTCTCATCCTCTATTCCTCCCCTTTCTCTCTCTCTTTCTCTCTCTATCTCTTTCTTTTCCTCTCTCTAATCCTCCTTTACCCTGTACCAGTGTTTATTAAATAAGACAGGACAAATGAAATATTATCATTTTTATTTCATCGTTTTATTAAACATCAACCTGCGTGTTTCTTCAACTAAATCAACCCTATATAGAGACCTAAGATAGTATGCCAATTTTTAAAAAAAGCAACAATCGACAATACTTAGCAATGAAATTGTACATGACTGTGCCCTCTGGAATTAATTCACTAAGACGGTGAAAGCGAAGGAATCGAGCGTTAGAAAATGTATATTTCTGTGGCTCGTTTATTATCTACATTATGCCAAAAACTTGCAACGTATCCGAGATTTGGGACGCGAAATTTTAAGCCTGCTTTACGGTTTTAGAGTTTTCATTACATTGTTATTACAATTTGTTCAATGGCCTCAAAATCTATTTACTGATTATTTTTCTTGTACTCTGCGTGCATGTATAGCCCAGGTGGTCTGAGACCAAAGCGATAAATCTACCTGGTTCAAATAACTGCAATAGGCCCACTTCGGAATCCAGTAAGAATCATAATTTGTTTTCACAATTTCGAGACGATAAAAGTCAGGTCGGGTGTACGTGACATCCGGACGTGACAAATTGAAAATGAATGCATAAATGATTCCTCGAAACGTCTGAACAAAAGAAAATTGAAGTTTCGCAGCGATGGTGCTTCATCAGGTAAATACCCGGACAACGGAATCATTTATTTATTTTCAACTAGCATTTCCGAAGCATTCCGAAGCAGACTACTATATTATACAGGCATGCATTTGATACCAGCTGATTCCAGTTGGAAACCAGTAGATGCATGATTACCAGTTGCTTTACCATTTGAAAACCAATACATGATTACCACTTGAATTACCAGTTGAAACCTGTAGATGATTACCAGATGATTTACCAGTTGAAAACCAGTACATGATTGCCAGTTGATTTACCGGTTGAAACCAGTAGAATACCAGTTGAAAAACCAGTTCAATGTATCTAATGCATATTCATGATTAATTTGCATGTTAGCTCGCTAGTACTTAATTAATCTTATACTCAAATGTAATGCGCCTCAAATGATTATGTGATGGGGTCTAGCAAGAGTCTAAGTAAATATGGTTTAGTTGGTTGCCAGATGCTAAGCAATATTGATTATTGATTATCAACTGATTGCTGGTCGCTACTGGTAATCAACTGGTTATTGATCAACTGTTTGTTTCCAATATGGAAATTGGTAAAATGGATCCAACTGGTACCAGTTGACAACTGGTATTCCAACTGGAATCAATTGGTTACCAGTTGATTCCAGTATTCCAATATCCATATTGAATCCAGTTAACTAATTGGAATCAACTGGTACCAGCTACCAGTTAATTCCAGTAAACCAATTTCCATATTGAAACCAGTTCACTTAACTGGAATCAACTGGTACCAGTTGACAACTGGTCCAACTGGAATCAATTGGTTACCAGTTGATTCCAGTATTCCAATATCCATATTGAATCCAGTTCACAAATTGGAATCAACTGGTACCAGTACCAGTTGGTTCAACTGGTATCTAACTGTTTTTTCGACCTGGGCATGCATTTCGGACTCTTTGTAACCTATAATATCAGAGAATCAGGCATTCCAAACAGCAACCCATTACAATAATCAAGCTTACTTGTGATGAGAGCATATCGAACCAATTTCATACTTTCTTGATCAAAATATCTGCGGATACGTCTGAGATTGTATAGAAGATAGTATGTTGATTTGCATATATTTCTAACATGACTGTGTTTCCATGTTCAAATTAGTATCAAAGTATACTCCTAAATTCCTCGCTGTAACAAAGGGTTTCACATTGGAGGATCCAACTCTTATTTTGAAATTTGTTGTGAAGTTCCGATAACCCAAAATGCACGCTCACTATCGTTTAGCTTAAGATTATTATTAAGCATCCATATATGAATGACATTTTTACACTTTTCCAACATTCATTCTTTTATTCATCAATTCATCCATCCATTAATTTATTCATCAGTCATTCATCAATTTATTCATTTATTCATCAGTCATTCATCAATTTATTCATTTATTCATTTTATCCATTCACCAATGCCTTTGTTTTTGATTTTCCTAAATTTCGTGTTTCTATTTTGATCCTTATTACCCTGAAAATATGTTTAAATTATAATTTGAAACAACTTTCAATTACATCTTAATCATTCAAATTTACGTATCCAAAGTTTTGTATGTTTATTTTTTAATGTCAGTTAGGTTGAATGGTTTTACTTACACACAGGTTTTGTTCTCCTGTTGAGGCTCTAACTCTGACTCGAAGGAAAACATAAAGAAAATGATAATGGTGATAAAAAGAAGAAGAAAATGATCAATTATTACAAAAGATACACTGACTACACTTGACATATTTAAAATTGTATTTTCACATTAACCTATTGACAACTAAATGTATTCATTACTCTAGGCTTAATACAGGAGGTTCCAGTGTAAGCAGTTAAATAACAGTTTAACAAAAAAACACACAAAACATTGTGTTATAATAATGATAATAAGTTGATTTGATTTTGGTTCGGTTGATTGATTTCTCAATTTTTCATACAATAATAACCAGTAACAATCTGAACATTTTGTACATAGTGGTGAATCACCGTCATTGAATATTATTTGTTCAACAAAATGTTGGGAACGATTGACATAGCAAAATGCAGAAGAGCTGCAGCGTAAGCGTACACTTGAAGTGCATGCAGCTCTTTAACTTATGATAACAGCAACAGCAAAATATGATAATATAAACAGGCAAAAAACAATAGGAATTCACGGCATATTAAAATGAAGACAAAAAATAATGATAATAAAAATAATAATAAGAAGAAGAAATAATAATAGCAATAATGATAACAATGGTAATAATCATAACAACAATATTCAAAGTACTTTACAATAATGTTATTATCAGAAGAGGTGAGCTTTTGTGATATTTTTGGAAGGCATTTAAAAAGTGCTGGTTGCGAATCTGGGTAGATTATTCCATAGTTTTGATGCAGGAGCTGTGAATGCTCTGTCACCAAGGGTTGGTAGCATGATGCCCTTGAGAGGAGCGAAGGGAGCACGGGAAAACTGCCTGGTATTTACATGTATGCAGGGGGCGTTTCACAAAACTTGTCGTCGGAGACAAATGACATTTTTTGTTATAACCTACTGAAATCCTTGCTTCTGATTGGCTATTAGCAGATTTGTCACTGATTTTTGTTATTTGTCTTTGAAAAAAGGCTTTGTGAAACGGGTCCCAGGAGTTCAGATAATAATGACGGAGCGAGACCGTGGATACATTCGAAGGTGAAACGAAGTAGAAATTACTTTGATATGTACATAATATATCTGTTATCATTTAATAGTAGGCATCTACAGGGTCCGTCTTACAAAGAGTTGCGATTGATCCAAATCAATCGTAAGTCCTCCGATCAATCGCAAGTTTGCAATCTCCTATCTCTTGTGTACATAGCTGCGATTGATATCAATCGCAAATAATTTGCGAGTGATATCAACTCTTTATAATACAGGGCCCAGATCTTCATCACAACGTTTAAACAAAGTGTACATAAGAGTTTTGATGTTTCTTTCGTACTTCCATTTTGTGGTAATTTTCCTGAAATCGCCTATCACCCTTGACAGAAGGGATAATATTTATTTGTTTTGAGATAAAACACGCCTTCGTCATGTATGGGACTTGCAGTGTAACCCATATCGGGACAAGCCATGTTCCGACAGTCCCGGGTTTGTATTCCCTTCTTGTAGTTGTCCCATTTAGGTGCCCAAGTGGTGGGCCTGAAGCGGCATGGGGTACTTTTGGAGATGCTCTCGGTGTAGTATGCAATGGCTTTCATATGGTCGCAGATGATGCTGAAGTAGCAATTGGGCATGTCCGTCCCTCCGTTGGGGTAGAAATCTTGGTGGCCAAGCTGTGAAAAGATTTAGGACAAAGAAGCGACTGAGTGTTCAGAGAATATAGGGAAATACTGGCAAACTTAGGAGACCACAACCCGCCCTTGTTTCTACCCTTGAAATTCCCAGGGAACACACTAAAGATTCCTTTCAATTTGAGACCTGAATAATGACTCAAAAAAATAAGTCGGTCTGTTGGTAAGTCAATAAAAATCCTGAAAATCCTTCTTTTTTCCCCGGAAAATAATGTGCCCCCTGGCCCCCCGCCAAGGTTTTGGTTTTTTTTTTTTTTGGGGGGGGGGGGGGGAAGGCGTAAAACGTGGAAAAGTAGGAAAGAGGGGAAAAGAAAGAAAAAGAGAAAGAGAGAGACAGAGAGAGAGAGAGAGACAGACAGACAGAGACAGAGGTAGAGATATAGATAAAGAGAGTTGATGGGTGGGAGGCGGGGGAAGGCAAAAATGAGGGGGGGGGGTAGAGATAGTACCCCTGTACTACCAAATTAGATTAGAAATGAGTAGGCCTACGTTTAACGTCATGTAGCCCTTTTCTGATTTCCCCTTCTTTAATCACAAAAAAGAGGAACATCTTTTACAATAGTTTCCATAGTTACCTCATCCATGAGCCCAAGCCCTCCCATTGCGATCAGTTCACCGTCAGTGTGTATGACGTCAACAAAAGTTGCATCGGATTTGTCTAGACGACAGAAGTTCCTCACCCGTTTCCCGCCAAACCCTGGGCCTGCAGGGTCCAAACCTGGTATAAAGATATATATATATATATATATATATATATATATATAGAGAGAGAGAGAGAGAGAGAGAGAGAGAGAGAGAGAGAGAGAGAGAGAGAGAGAGAAAAGAGAGAGAGAGAAGAAAAGAGAGAGAAAAAGAGAGAGAGAGAGAGAAAAAGAGAGAGGGGAGAGAGAGAAAGAGGAGAGACACAGAGAGAGAGAGAGAGAGAGAGAGAGAGAGAGAGAGAGAGAGAAGGCGGGGGAGAGATTGGGTCAGTTAATATCAAATTAATGAAGGCCCCATTTCCCATTTTCTTTCAATAGGGGCCTACGTGTATGAGGCCGAAGCATCTGTTTGTCATATTGATATACAAAGTGGAGAGCGCCGCCGACATCGGAGGATGCTATACTACTAGCAATACTCTCTTTAAAAAAAGAGTGAATTTTCACTCTATTTTCACTTTCTTGGGAGTGACGTCTGTGATCACTTGTTTAGGAGTGCAAATCGATTGATTTTAGAGTGCTCTCTAAGAAGAACAGAGTGAATGTTCACTCTATTTTCACTACATTTTCACTCTCCAGAGGAGTGACGTCCGTGATCACTCGATTTTTTTAGAGAGTACCGCTTCAACAAAGGCGAAGTTCACTAGTACTCTATTGCATCAGGAAACAGATTTGCATAATTACGTAACAAGAAAATGGAATGTAAAAATAGCTTTAAGTAATTCAAGCTATATGCCCCCCCCCCGCAATTAATATCATATTTCTAATTTAGGGCATTTACTCAGCACTGCCGAAAATTAAATTACAAAAATTCCCCCCTTCCCTTTCTTGGGCCCGCAAACTCGGTGGGAAGTACGCCTTGTGCCAGACAAGAACCTCAAGTGCACAGCTGCTGTTTTAGTGAGAACAGTGCATGAACACAATTTTAAGGAATTTTTTTACATTGCCAATAGACCTACTGTTTGATCAATATTTGATCTGCCATATATTCAAAATAGTTTGAATATTGTACTAAACAATTAGAATACAAGTAATGCTCTTGGGGAAATATTATAATATAGAAGTAATCGAATCCAAGACACCTTTCGCCAGTGTGTACATCTTATGGGCGAACGAAGCGTGTAAGGACCGGAATAGGCTTGAGAAAAAATAATGCTCAGTTACTTAAGGGTCCAATGTTACATAGGCCTAATTGGGTGACTATTTCGGGACAGGTTCTTAGACTATGTTAGTACTTTCCTGATAAACTCACCTTTTCCCCCAATGATCTATGTGATATACTCCCTGTACTGTACTTTTTGTCCTCTTTTCATTGTAAGCGCTATGGTACTTATTGTTTTTAGCGCTCCTAAATATATTATTATTATTATTATTATTATTATAAAGAAAATGGTATCAGAATGATGAACGGACCGGAAAATGTTGAGAGTCAGGTATGCAAACCGTTTTCCGAAAAATCAACTCAAGGGCATTATCAATGCACTATTGACTCCTACAGAAATGTTGAGATTACGTAATAACGCGTCATTGTCATGATCACACATTTTAATTGGTGACTCACAAGGCTCTTGAAACTTGTTTTCATGATGGTGCATCTTATTTTTTTACCAGAATGTCGGTAAGCCCACTATCATTGTTATTATCTTTTTAGGGGGGCGCCACTCTTTGCTGGATTTAATGTACAAACATTATACATATAACAATTGTATTGTACATAACTACTCTTACTTCTTTATTACATATTAATAGGCTCACAGATAATATAGACATTTTTTCTTCAGGCCTATATAACACTTATATTCTCTTTATACTTGTATTTTACATCATTTATATACACTTTCATTTTGATACTAGGCCCCTTGCATACTGTAAGCTTTATATCCTGCGTCTTTATTAGATGCATTATGTGATTTTTCTCAACCCTGTTGAAGATACCAGATTCCTAACTGTTTAATTCCTCATTACTCTAATATAATGCTGCTTGTATCATAATGATTTATAATTGTCTTGGTACATCTGAATTATATCCTTATTTGTAGGAATATGCGATATGTAATAAATGTGTCATTTTAGTCTTAGTTTTTGGAGGGAGGGAGGAGTTAAGATTTTTTTTTAAACAATGTGCAATATTATGTGTGTGACAATGTTATGTTTATATTTAAGTTGATTTGGGAGCAACATGTGAGGGCTCACATACCTCCGGGTATTAGTGTTGAATTTCACTTTTGTGAGTCCTGGCCCACACGCTGCTCCCTCCCCTTTCCTCTTGTATTTTGTATGTATTGCATGATCTGTCAAAATGTAATTGTATTGTGCTTTTATGATTGGCCTAATAAATAATAACAATAATTAAAACAAAAAAATCATGTACCTGATATTCTTCCGATCATTTCGTGGGTGGATGACCCTGCGTAGCCCCCAATGTGGGCGCCCAAGCTGTGCCCAATGATATGGACGTCGATATAAAGAGCCCCGCCGTGTACATTGAGGGCTTCGATTAACCTGGCGACCTGGCGACCGACCACGCGAGAGTTGGCCCTCGACGTGGGGTATTGTCTTCGAGCACCCAAAGACCAGTCGACCATGATCACGTTGACGTCTTCCTTTGTGTTTTTATAAAGGTAAAAGTGGCGAAAAGTGTCAAAATACCGAAATATCAGCCCTTATTAACATTCAGGTCTGTATTGCTTTAAAAAGAACACATGACGCAACCATGGAAACTTTACACGATCGCAAATAATTTATTTTTAAAATCTACAAGAGGCAAATTCAATAGCCTGATTGTGATGCTTCAACTGTTAAATGTTAAAAATAAAGATTATGACACATCTTCTTGTCATCCGAACTTTATTTCTGTTGGTTGTAAAAGAAGGTATTGAAATAACCGATAAAGTTAATTAGTTTATATAGTTTTCGATCGTGAATTTCTACAAATAAATTCAAAGTAATGGGAAATCATGAATTAAGGAGAGACTGGCAGTTAAAGAGGGAGTGGGAAAGGATGGTACCAAGAAAGAAATTATATTAGAGGTGAAAGAGAAGAGGAAGAGGGACGAAGATCGAGAGTGGGAAAAAGAGGAGTGAGAGCGAGAGAGAGCGAGAGAGAGAGCGAGAGAGAGAGCGAGAGAGAGCGAGAGAGAGCGACAGAGAGCGACAGAGAGAGACAGAGAGAGCGAGAGAGAGGGGGGGGGGGGAGGGGTGAGGGAGAAATAGCGAGATAGAAAGAGAGAGTGGGGGGGGGGGGGGATATATATATATCATGATGGAGGGGAAGCAATGTATTACTTCTGCACATGACAGTATTACAATTTCTCATAACAACTTCTGTTAAAATAATATTCTCTTGTCTTCCACGTACCCTCAAAAGCAAAGCGTCCCTCATACCAGTCCACCTGTATCCCTCCATACTTCCCTTCCAGCCGTGTATCAGAATCTTCGTACCCCTCCTCGCATCGAACTTCGACGTCGTAATCGTTGACGGAATTTTCCTGTCCATCGACTCTCCAACTCCGACGTCGCCGGCGGTCGAGCGGGTGAAGAGAGTGAACGTCGTGCCGATCTTGGCCGGCGATTCCGGGTGTCGATGATGGCAAGTAAAAAAGACTCGACTAAAGCAACCCACATCGTCGTAGCAAACTTTACAGAGCGCTAGAAAGAGGGACAGCAGGATAATATTTCTTTTATAAGTATTACACCTGTAAATAAAGATTACTCAAGGGTGACAAGAAATGTGGCCTGTATAAAAGCAGGTGATCTATATGCACATGCAGATGTAGCTTTTGTGCATTTCAGAGGGGAACACTTTTCAGAACGGCCTGTTTAGACAGGTGGTCTTTCTTTACAGGTGGTCACAAATTGGGTTCCATTGTAATCCGTAAGGGAAAATACCTGCTTCATGGTAAGACATTGGGGAAAACAAAATACGTGAAGATTGTTGCATTCATGAGCTCCAAAAAAGTCTAAGCATAAATTTCAATGCTTCAATCAGTTATTCAATCTGTAAGAATACCTCAAAACCATTAATGACCCATTAACCCAGAATCGGACTGTCTCGAACTGACCAACAGGCTGACGCCACTTGCCCGAATATCATTGTAGGGTGGCCTATACGGCTAAGGTATGGCGAAGGCACGGCGGGTCTCTAACTTGCAGAGCATAACAAACTCACACATCTGCACTCCATGCTTGCATGTGGGGAACTGCCTGGGAATTGCATGCTTTGCAACCCGAGGGTTTATTTACATATATCTACATGGATTTGCATGTACATTGTATAACAACAGTAACTAATACATATGCAAATATCAGAGCTGGTAAATAAAAGGAGGTACGTGAATATTCATAGATTTCCGTGCGTATCAATGAGCTGCTATGAATATTCAATAAAGCTTAACCAATCATACTGTAAAGAACAATAAACCAAAGAATGAACATAAAAGGATAAACGTGAAAGGAGTAATAAAAGAGACTAAAGTTGGGGAGAGTGAACATAGCACGAAAGCATGTAGAGGGAATGGTGACGGTGATTGAATGCGATGGAATGAGCAAAATAGAGTTTGATGATAGAAGAATGTACATAGACAATATGGCAAGATAGGATGCTTTCATATATATTCTACAGTACAATGTCCTGTTCAAAATATAGCTCTACATCATCTTTTCTTTCGCGAAAGAGTAAGAGTTTTGATCATTTATAACAGTACGAAAATTTGTACTCACAATCAAATGGAATCTGCAATCATCTAATAACTCTTCTATTTAAATTATATAGGAATAACAGTAAGGTTAGACATAGTGCTAAATGAATAATGAGATATAATTGGGTTTCGTTGGCCGAGGGGGAGCCACATCTGTATTTCCCGCAGGCCCTGCAATTAGCACTGTCCCAGCCATTGCCAGATATCCGTTTACACCTATGTGGAGAGTGGCTAATATGGATTAACGTCTTGCCTAAGGCTTAAGTGCGGGGCTGGGATTCGAGCCCCCAACCTTTGGATTTAGAGTCAAGTGAAACGAACCACTATAATCACGACACCTCCACTAAATAATACGGCATCGTAAAGAGAATGGGTCAAAAGGGAACCCCACGAAAGTATAGAGCATGCATGCAGCTGACCTTTCCGGGAGGGCCTCTCGAGAATATGCATCAGCAGTTATGCAATGGTCTGTACTTTCATTTCCTTAAACCCTTTCTAGGTCTTATTGTTACCGAGGTAAGGTGTTTTTTATTGTGGTCGGAGGGTCAAGAGGTTTATGTTTCCCACACTTTTTCGATCAGAAGGGTCGGAAGGAGAGGTGCGGGCAACGGTAGTCGCCGCAACCATGATTCTCAAAATTCAGTTTGTGTAAATTCAGTTTTTCACTTTTTTTTAGGGGGGGGGGGGGGGGAGGGAATACTAACAAACGTATTTACAATGGTTTTTGATGCGCAAAGTACAGCTTTATGAATCAAATGGAAAATACAAACTCTCGAAAATGTTGCCCTGTTTTACCATGTTTGGCAGCAATTACATTTTTTTAATTCATATTTCAATTTGATTAAAGAAAGAAGTGATTGAAAATTAGGTCCGTGTTTCTTAATGTTACACAAGTATATATAAAATCTGGTACACAAACTAATTAATATAAATACAACGATGGTGATCATTGGTACATCCGAACAGTATTTAGAAAGATGACAACTGCACCCCGGCCGCTCTTGAGTTTAAACTCTGATATTTTTCTAAACTTATCCAAAGAGGGGTAATAACTGCAGACTCGATCAATAAATAGTCAATGAAATATGGTAATTGATCGCATAGGCGAATTCCATGTTGACTTTATAACGATCATCTTTTTTCTTACATATTTCTTGTATATGCCTATATTCCACTCACTACACACATTCTTTTTAAGAGTCCTATTCCATTCTGCTAATACAATTACATACTTATGACCCCTTAGCGCTGCTAACATGCCTCCCACTTTTGGCCTCCCTTTTAAAATCATTTTCTAGAAAAAGCTCCAAGTCATTCACTATTTTCAAGGCGGATGATATCCACTTCTGTTTCATGATATGGGACTGGAATAATTCCTCTGTACCACTTTACAAATGAAATCGGATTTGTAGGCTGAACGAGAGGCTAGTACAATAATACAGCGATGAATGATCGGAATTGACCTCGGTATTCTTGAAGTTCAAGTTTAGGTTCTAATATCAACAATACCCTACTGTACATGCTCCGGAACTTTTCTGTATACCGGGAACCCAAAACAAACTATTGCCTACTTTCACCTGTCACTACACCAAACAAAACGTAATTTATACAACATGTATTGGTTTCATAAAGGAATAGACAAAATCGGGTCGGGGAAGGTGTGGGCGGAGGCTGAGGTGGGTGAGGTTGTGGGGGGGGGGGTGTACGAAATGCAAATAATGTAATGCACAAATGATTCCAGTTGCATCATTCCTTTACCTGTCTTTTCTGAACATTCTACCTCTTTTTATATTAGACTATTTACGTCATAACTTCAAGAAGAACTCTCAGTAGGCTACTGCTTTCGGCAGGAACTGTTGAACGTACGATGAGCCTCATTAATCGTGTAGAACACTCTCATTTAAAAAGATCTTTCCATTTCAACCCGATTTCAACGAGGCAATGTTGTCGATCATCATTTGTATTTTACTCTGACAAATAAACCATGAATGCTATCGAACCTCCCGTCCTGTCTTCACTTTGTTACTGTAGTATATTAACTTCTTCATAATCATGATCATGTTCATATGTTTCAGTATTAGTTTTAGTATTATCATTATCAATATGATCATTATTATCATTATCATTATTATTATTATTTCTATAATTGTTAATGTTATCAATATTATCATTAATATTCGTCATTATTATTATTATCCTTTTAAAGTAGTAGTAGTAGTTTAAGTAGTAGTAGTAGTACTGTGCAGTTATGGTAGTTTTAGTAGAAAATGTAGAAAGTAGTTCCGCTTCAGAGGTTGCCTCTAAAATATGTAATATGATTAAATCGCAGTGGCAGAATGTCACGGAGACAGTATGAATTCGAAATCGGATACAGAGGCGTCGTGAGATTGATAATGTCATTAAATGATTTAATGGAGCACTAAGTACTTCTGGCTGTTTTTTCAGCGAAGTAAGTTTGTTCATAAAGAAAAATGTTGCTAGTTTTGTGCATTCTCGTAGTCATGGAAATAGAATACAAACTATGAAACGAGGGCAATATTTTATCGTCTTTGTACATTCGTAAATATAGTCTTATCTCTTGGATCTGGAACCCGTTTCACAAAGCCTTTTTTCCAATGACAAATGACAAAAATCAGTGACAAATCTGCTGATAACCAATCAAAAGCAAGGATTTCACAAGTCATTTGTCATTGATAACAAATTTTGTGAAACAGGGCCCTGGAATAACACCTGGCTTCTCCCACCATTAGGGTTAAAATAGATTCTTCCCCATGCCCCTTTTCTCTAATCCAAATCCTCCAAGTCATTGCTATTAATGTTGTCATCAATCCATGGCAGGTTTGAATTCGGATCACACCCCGATGATTAAGAGAGGCCTGGAAAAAAGCCGGATTATATAATAACGCTCGTGACCTCTCGTACTCATGTATTTATGCAGGCGTATATGAACATGTATCTGGAAAATGCGCGATATTATATACACTCTTATTGTCATTATGAATACATTATTATTATCATTATTATTGAAACACAATCCATGAAAAAAAGAATAGATTCAGAGATTCTTACCAAGTTCAAAGCTTAACGCCAAAACCACCACAAGCAGCCACGGTACACCTCTCATGTTTGCAGCAACTTCTGACAGCAAAAATACACCCCTCTCTATGTTCTCAAGTCAGATTTTGATTTGAGTGATGTCAGACTGACAGGCTTCGGATCATTATATTATAATTACCCGGGCGAGCTGTCAATGAAGTGTATTTTCTCCGTCACCACGATCATGAGTGGAAACGCTAGCTACTGTATGTTTGAGTCATTCAGCTGAGCCGAGTCGAATTACTCCCGCTTAAATCGAACCATAACAAAATCATTGTATTGACTAGCCTTTAGTGCATGCAGGCAGAGTTATTGATGACAAAATAGGTCGTATAGGTCTATAATTACAACCTCCATGCATGCCAATGTTAAATATGATGTCTGTGTGTCTGCACATCACAGTGTTACCATCATATAGAAGACTTGGCAACGTTGGCAAACTTCGGAATATCTTGTAATCTCATATCATACTTCATTAAAAAAATGTATTCAAAATATAGAGCAATCATAATATCAATAATGATAATAATAATAATTGTTAATGATTTAAAATTAAAATAAAATATTAATGATGATAATAATAATACCAGTAATAATGGTAATAACAATTATGATAATAATGATAATAATAATAATAAGATATGTCTTGTTACCCAGGGTAGCCTCGTCAGTATTCACACTGGTCTCCCCGAGGGCCCTGCAAGCATAATTACCATGCATGGCTTTAGCCGAGCTACCTTGAAAACTGGCGCTCAAGCATTCATAGGAATTCTCCCTTCCGGGTAGGCTACATTTACCTCACCTGGGTGGAGTGCGGCAGAGTCTCTAAAAACACAAAACAGGTCATAACATTCTAAAATATTGGATAAACATAAACGTGAAGATAGTATCCGCAAACCTGGCACTTTTTTGTACCCATGTTAGGTAATATTTTGCCGAATTCTGATCAATTTTGAGTACAAATTAAAATAAAATATCCCAAAGTGGGAATATAATTGCCAACAGTTGGTTGGACACTCCATTATCATCACGGCGTTTAATTCATACCCATCAATATTTTACAGTGTAACACAATACATTTTTCTCATCCTCGTTATATGAATCAATACATCATACTACACTGTATTCGTACTAATTACTCGATCACTAAAATTGTACAGCGCTCATTTAGTTCAGATCGAAATGTCAGCACCAACTGGCGAGAGTTAATGAGGTCATTGGCATTTCGGATATGTGTGTGTGTGTGGGGGGGGGGGGGGGTGGTAGAAGAGGGGTTAAAGGGGAAGTCTGCCCTGATGTTAAGTTGGTTTTAATAAAAGCAGGGGAGAAGTGTGGTGAAACTTTTATTATCTTGCTTGTTGACGGAGGAAAACAAATATTTGCATTACTCATATTTGGGTATAATGTATTTTCTATAGAAATTTAAGAATTGTTTTGTACTTCGAGCAAATGGGAGCGGTCCACGAAAGATACGTTACGGAGTTGCGAATTCGTGTATCATCGATTATAACTTTAAAACAAAGTATACATTTCATTTAATTTACCGGATTTTCCGCCGCACTTTCACTGATATGTTTATAATATAATTGATTGTACTTGGTTCGTGTATACTTCTCATCATAATTATCTGTCATGACAATTCACACTAGTGAATTCAACACGAGTAAATTACCTGCTCCAATTACCCAAAAACACGTCCTTTATCACGGCGCTCTAGAATTTCAAGGAATTAAGGTCTGCCAGGTACGCATTTATTTAATTCACCTGGGTCGAGCATGTTAATATAGATTAATGTTTTACCAAAGTAAACTTGGGGCAGTGACAAGGAGTCGAACCCAGTACCTTGTGATCTGTCGTCCAGTGACCCATCCACTAGACTACAACAGCACAGCCAAACAAAAACAACTTGGTATGAAGATGGATTTCCCCTTTAAAAGCGGACTGCTCATAGTCGACTTGTGACGGGGTAATCCCAAAGTTCCGACCGGGTGTAACGAGATATCATACATTATCATTACATACACAGATCCGAGACATGCTATACCACAGTAGCACTGCAGAGAATAAATATTATCATGATCTTTGTAGTCTACAGGGCGAACGCTTCGAATAATATGCAAAATTGTTAAACCTTTACACCCCCTCCTCTATCTCTCTCTCTCTCTCTCTCTCTCTCTCTCTCTCCCTCTCCCTACGATTTCGTACGATGTAACGCAACTACGATGTATATAGTATCCATATTGATTCATTTTCTCTTCATGAAAATACCCATATATATACCCTTATTTGGATGCACTGGTCATATTTATATACTACGTTTACTCAGGACGGTGTATTTTGATATTTATCAATCTGCAATTCCATATTATAATATTTATTTTTTGGCCAAATTGGGAAGAAAAGATTTATTTTGAGAGGGTTGACGGGCGACTTCCTCCATGATATTCCTCGGCCAATTACTACTACTACAACTACTACTACTACTACTACTACTACTACTTATACTACTACTACTACTACTACTACTAGTAGTACTACTACTTCTACTACTACTACTACTACTACTACTACTACTACTACTACTACTACTACTTATACTACTACTGCTACTACTACTACTACTACTACTACTACTACTACTACTACTACTACAGTAGTTATAGCAGTGAGACCGGGGACGGCCATAGGTTTTGTACACGAATTTTGTTGTACTTATACTATTTCTAATTGACTCGTGTACATAAGCTTTGACATTTTTTCGAGAAAAAACGGATTTACAACACGCGTGTCTATGGGGTTTTGACGAGGTCTTGACTTTTTAAATTTAGATAGGGATTTTTCATTTTGGACTTGTAAATAAGCAAAAAGTGACTTATAACACGTGTTTCTATGAGAATGTTGACATTTTGAATTCTACTTAGGGATTTTTCAATATGGACTTAGATTTTGTTTTCAAGCAATAAGTGACTTACAACACGTGTCACTACGTGAATTTTGACATTTGAATTTTACTTAAAAATCTTTAGGAATTTTTGACGTTTTGAATATTGGATAGGTATTTTCTTTTTGGAACTGACTTTTAACATTGTGTATATGGAATTTTGACTCTTTGACTTTCTTGCTATACTTTGTGTTTGACTTTCTGAGGAACGTTTACAACGCCGTTGTAGGTTGGATCAATATCTATTGTTCGATCAACCATGGAGTTACTCATAACTCCAAGGAACGTGTATTTACCCATACTGTGATCCTCGCTTGGCAGCACGGGGAAGCTTATTGTATGGCAATTAACTTTGTATAGGTCTAGTGTCTTTTGTATTTGAATTACCTCTTTTCAGCAATAGTACCGTTGTTTCTTATTGATCGTTCATTGACTTTATGAACCTCTCAAGAGACTTTCGACAAATGGAAACTTGTTTTAATCCGACCTGTTCATACCGCCGAGTTTTTTTGGACTTTCACACAACACTTTGATATTTACATGGCTGTGTTTGAACTCTCTCAAAACACCATTATGGACATACTTTGTATGCTGTACGACTATTGTGACGTAGAATACACACATCAATGAAATAAAACATGCCATGTAGTACAGAAATTTAACTTTATTTTACTTTATTTCTTTCGGTTTCAATGTGGACAACTTCATGCAATACAAAGATAACAATTACAATTTAGTTATGTTACAAGGGAACAGAGATTAAATATACAAAACATTTTTAACTAGAGAAATAGAACCCAAGTCACATTATTGTATTATTTCATCTTAAATATATGAAAACTGTTAACGTAATTGTACAGCAAATATATCGTGTATAGGTATAAATATCTATAAAAAAAAACATAAAACACAATATAAAGTGTATTTTTCTCAGAAAGGTCGATTGATGTACAACATGTTGAAATCATAATACATTTGTCATCTATTATTAGGGTTGTCTACGAAGTGTTCTTTGTCAGGGTGATGTCAAGCCCAGGGGCGTCGCCAAAGGGGGGGGGGGGGTTGTGGGGGTGCGACACCCCTCCACCTGTCAGGATATTGTGGGTAAAATTACGCTGCCGTCGGGAAAAAAGAGAAAAGGGGGAGGGAAAAAAGAGAGGGAAAGGGAAAGAAAAGAAAAAAGAAAAGGAAAAGAAGAGGAAAGAAAGGAAAAGAAAGAAATGGAAGAAAAGGAAAACAAAAAGAAAAAAGGGAAAAGGGAAACAAAAGAAATGGGGGTGAAGAGAGGAGAGAGGCGGGAGGTAAGAGCCCGAGAAAGGAGGTGGGTTGTGGGTGGAGTCGTCTCGTCAAGGAAGCAAGACAGACATGGCTAAATATGTTGCTGTGTCGGGTCAGCTGTGTTGGTATTCTTGCTCGATCCTCGTGTACTATATCAATGCAGAAGTTTGAAGTCGGTGAGATGTATATTGTCGATCGGCCGACAAGTTCTTTTCCCTACGAACTGTGACTTTTTATCCGCTGTGACGACTTCGAGAGTGACTACAACTACAATACTTGTATTTTCTCGAAGTTTCACTTTCCTATAGTATCAGCTAAAGAAATCAGCGGGTGGGGAAAATTTCATTTAGACGAGTCGAGAACGGTACAACGAATCGTTTTTTTCCTCTAATAATTTGAGGAAACGTCTAAGCTTCCGCGATTCGCGCAAAGGGGGGGGGGGGGGGGGGGACTGAATTCAGATAAGGATTAAGAGTCGAAAACGGTGCAACGAATCGTCTTCTTTCTATAATAATTAAATCAAACGTCTAAGCTTTTCGCGCTGGAAGGGGGAAACTGAATTCAGACAAGGATTAACAGTCGAAAACGGTACAACGAATCGTCTGCATGCTTTCTCTAATAATTTAAGGAAACGTCAAAGCTTTCGCGCTAAAGGAGGAAACTGAATTCAGACAATTAGGGCTTATTAAGAGTCGAAAACGGTATAACAAATCGTCTTCTTTCTCTAATAATTGAATGAAACGTCAAAACTTCCGCGCTTTGTGCGGGATGGGGGAAAACTGAATTCAGATACGGGTTCAGAGTCGAGAACAGTACACCGAATCGTCTGCTTTTTCTCATAATTTATGAAACGTCTAAAGATTCCGCACTTCGCGCAGGAGGGGGAGAAACTGAATTCAGACAAGGATTAAGAGTCGAGCACGGTTCAACGAATCGTCTACTTTCTAATAATTCAATGAAACGCCAAAACTTCCGCGCTTCGCGCGGAAGGGGCAGAACTGAATTCAGATATGGATTAAGA